AGGTGATATCTGTTGGAAAGCATATTTTGTTTTGTTATGAAAGGAGAACTTCTTATACGATTTCGATGAAATTTAAATGGGACCATCTCGATCCCTCAAGCTATCAAATAAAAAAAGAATTTTGAAAATCGATCAACAATTTACGATAACATCGGTGAACATACAACGCTGTCTAATATATAACCTCCTTTTCGATATTGAAGTCAATAAAAATAATAGTTAATGCAACTGACGACAACAACACGAGAATCTGTTTATCTCGAGCACACTCGAGTGTTTTAATACCTAAGTTATATGCAGTTACATATACTACTTTATCTTTACTCATAGGAAAAATTGAAATTAAACAAAGTAGGTAGGTTACAAGAAAGTAATTTTTGGGATCCCGAATACATAAACAAGATCGGCAAAAAAATGTACGGGAAGCGTGGAAAATTAAGTTCAAACTACGCATGCGTGCGTCATGTTTTTCATATTCAGCCTAAAACCATAGACTAGTTTAGGCATGTCGATTCACTTGAAAAAAATCGATCTCTGAATTGATTCGAATCGAATCTCGATTAAATTGATTTTCGATTAATCGCGAATTTTTCAATCAAACTTGCCTTATATAGACACAAAGCATTATTGATAATAATTTACCGTTAGTATAAGTAATGTAGGAATTCTAGGAATTGTCCAACTATGCAAAAGTATTTGCTGGCAATCGGCGTTATCGAACTGTACAAGGAATTTGGTGATACCAAATATGTGATAGGGTCCACCGACGTTTTCAAATCGACGACAGGCTGTGTTAAATAATGTTTTCGTAACAAAAAGATAAATCATGAAACAAAACTATGAAAAAGTTCAAAATAGCCCTTCATGAAATCCTTTACACATCCACGATGAGCCGCGAAAATCCGAAAACATAGAGAAATGACAAGAATATCATACCAAACGCCACAATTCATTTGAATATTTACCGCTCTTGTAATTTTAAGTATGTCCACAACTTTATGGTACGTTTTATTTTTTTGTTACTGACGAGTGGGGTGATGTATGACGGGCTGGAGTAACAATGACAGTAGTGACAACTATTCTATACTGACATTCGAATGCGCGAATGCGAATTGCGAATTCAAAAAACTAAAAATGTCGGTATCAATTTAGGAATTTTATATTGCTAGTTCTTGAATTAAATAGAATCGGTCCGATTCGAGGGGTTCATGCATCGATTCAAGAATCGATTTAGCATTCCAAATCGATCTGAAAAATCGATTATGATACTTTAAATAATCGATCTCATCGACATGCCTAGACTAGTTTAATGGATAAAAAAAATAACGGTGCTATAATGAGTTTTATTTTTAATTTTATGTATGTGCTTGTTATAAAGAATCGTCTTTGAATTCGTAATTCGAATTGTTCGATTAGAGTGTTGATAAAAATAGTTTTAATTCAGTCTAGACTGTTACAAGTGCTTCTGAATTACGACAAACTACGCTATCCGTTCGCAGTCGCAGCGAAAAGGTGGGAGTCATTTTACTGAGAAAGACAAAAATTGAGCAAAGACTGCTTATCCTCATGTTTTATTTTATACAAAGAACTCTAATTGAAATATGACTGAATTAGATGCTGCTACATTCCATACCAAAATATACAATAATATAAAAATATTATGATATTACAATGTTAACACATAGTAAAATACAACAATTTTGTAATGTTTTAATTTAATATTTTTTGTTATAAAAAGTTCCTGATTCCCGTTAATTAGTTATTAGTTAGATGTTACTGTAATAATTAAGCGAAGGGATCTATTTTCGTATTTCGTTAAAAAAACAGCATCGAACGCAGCGTTAGATGTTCCATAAATCCCTTTATTACCTTTTGGATTAAGCTTTATTTGATTGTGCTTCTAATTTTGTTCCACTGATAAGTTCGGCATTGTATTGTTTGCAGAATAACAATACAAATTGTCCTACGCGCATTAATATTTTTATTATTAAGTTTGGCTACTGCGTATTATATCCTTAATAAATATATAGCTTTTATTATACTTTAATTAGTACCGTGTTTATATTATATATAACGGCGGGTAGTCCGAAGGGGCTATTACGATGCCCAAATAGATTGTCCATATCGGAGGACTATCTTTAAAATAACACTGCAGGCGTGATATACCAACGTGGATTTGTTCCATTTATCACTTTTCATACGAAACTATAACGAGATGAGCGTGATGTCATCGGATGTCTTTACTCCTCGGCGTTTGGAAACAGAATGTGTGCCAAAATGGCGGCAACTTGGTTTTTATAAACGAACTGTCAAAGTCAGTGTCACCATTCTAATAAAATTAAGGGTATCGATGATCACACTCTCTTTACAATCGAGTAATTAAGTAATCGAGTAACTAGCAATTAAAATAAAAGAAACTAAATCAAATGATCTTCGTAATGATGATGCGACATATATAATACCTATACACGTGGATTTCAGAATAAAGTAAAAGGAGTTACCTTTTGTGTTATAATTCGTCCATGTTGAGCGTACGCGAAACATCCATTGGGATAATCTATTCTCTTTTGTAAATAATACGATCGACTTTAGAGAGATATCGCCCATGCACGAGTCGAATGACGTCATAGCGGATATTTTGTCAATTTTTGTTTTTAGTTTTGTCATTTTATATACTGTTTGTCAAATAGATTACTACACAATTCGTGCTTCAAAAGACTTCGTGGTGTTCGTTTCTATTTCGGACTTTTATGTTTGTTTAACAATGCGAGTCCGCAATGTCATCTGACAAGATAACCAGTATGAGGTAGATTTGAAACGTTTCTTTCGGCTCCTGATAACTAGTTGCACTTTTGCAGTTATTATTCGATCGACTCTTCATAGACGATATATGTATTTTAGATTTATTTAGATTAGACAAAAGAAAACGTGATTATGTTCAATTAAGATTCTTCCATTCTTTTATAAATATTTCTCTTAATTTTGGCTACTGTATTCAGGCAGTGGAATGAGCATTACGATTGTATTAACTCGGATAATCCCAAACTAAGGTGCATGCAATAATTTTATATCATATGTTAATCAATTAAAGTTAAAATGAGCTTTTATATAAACAGCATTCGTCGTCGAATACAATACTGTGTTGGCATAGAGATATTTCATCTGTCATAACGTATGTATGTCATTGAAACCCTATAAAGTTACCACTTACCTATCCTGGTTTTATAACAGAATAGAATTGACAGCATCATGTACTATAATGAAAAAATAATACCGATGGATAATTATCATAAAAATTTTAACCGCGCGACCCAGTCGGGTCTAAATTACCTTTATTTTTTTTATTATAAAGCACTTTCGACTTATTTTTATATTAATTACTGAATCAGTTTGACAAAGTATATAAATCGATTCAATAATTATCTGTTTTTGTAATTTTTCTAATTATAATTCATTTTTTTAATAGGATTTCTCTGTATGAAATAAAATAGTGAGAAAAAAGCAGCAATTCTTCTCAGTACAAGGTGTCGTATTGTGGTATTGTGTGATAGCATTAACTTCGACTTTATGATGTGTATGATATGAAATAAATAAAGAACTTAATTTCTTTATCGTAATAATGTCTCATACAATATTATTACAAACCTCAACTTCGTCAGTCCCAAATTGCTATGACACCGCAAAAATGTAACAAAATAATATAACAAACAATTTCGCAACAAATTCCGAGGATACCGAAGTCCATATCGACAAAATTGAAATTATTTCGCTTCACATTTTCCCCATTTTTCCATCCAATTTCTTCTCGTTCTAAAAGGCAATCGTTTCTAAGTCCACCGACGAAAATGTGCGCGGTGTTGTATTTAATTTTCCACGATTACTTTATGGATTAAATAAAATATACATTTAGAGAGAATATACATTGAAAGAGAATGTGTTAACTAAAAAGAAGGTTATAACGTAAAACTCCTTTCGCAATCGAGCACTTCATATATTTATAAACGATAAAACAAAAGCACAACGCAAAACCAAAAGGAAGAGTTTACATGTTCAACGGCGATGTTTGTTTTTTTTTTTGTGTATGTTCATCGATAATTTTGCCAATTGTTGACCGATTCAACAGCTTGATTGACTGACGTAGACCCATTTTAATATCATCGAAATCGAATCAGTAGTAAAAGGAAAACTACTATAAGAAAACAAAATAAGTTTTTCACCATACATCATCTAAATATTTGAATGATATATATTGTATTTCATATATTTCAGCTCAAAACAAAAGACTGCGTATTTGAATTCATTCAAAATCCGAAAGGAGGATTTTCTATATTCAAGGAGTATGTATATTTTTTTAATGAAAGTAGGCATGTCAATCCATTTCTACTTGAATTCTGAACGAATTTCTATCAAACTAGCTGTTTCCCCACGACTTCAACTGCGTAAATTATAGCCTATGTCCAACGCGAATTATTTAGTTACCCGCAGATGAAAGACTTATAAATCGATCCAATGGTTTCGAAGCCTATCCGATGCAAACAAACAAGCAATCAAATCTTTTTAGTAATTAAAATTCAATTTTATTTTTGAAAGACAAATTATATTTTTAGAGAATCATCATGATCAGCTCATTAAGACTTCTTTACATCAGCTTATTAAGACCTTCAAATCGAATATTGAATAGGGGAATAGGCCATGACCTACCCTACCCTACATGACGCGAGCCCAGTACGGATTGGTGTGTGTTAACGACTACAGTTACTGCCTAGACCGACCGCTTGACATGCCTTCCGAAACACAGAGGAGCCCAACATAATAAATTTTGGGACCATCCATGCCATGCCCTTGTGAACGTTACATAACTTACATTATAGCATTTTTTTTAACGCTATTATAAGTCTATTTTTTTATTAAACAACAGGCTTATAAAAACGTTTATCCCGAAATGAACCTTACTTTATTTATAAGACGTTGATTAATTGACCTTAAAATAAAATACTTACCAAATAATGGGCTTGTATAACCACCGCTCTAAAAACTATGGAAGCGTCCTGAACACGCGTCTCTAGTGGTTTCTCGGCGTATTTCGGACATTGTCCGTCACAAACTATTGTCCGACACAGAAAAATAATTAGCACTAACAAAAGATTATTATTAAATCTACACATTGTTGGATAAGAGGCCATTATCACTTTTATATTTAAGAGTTTAAGTTACATTTTCATATGGCACGTCCATCGCACAACAGCGTGTTTCGCCCTTCGTTTCTTTTGCCGTTTTCTGCTATACATATTTTACCTGAAACAAATAAATGGATATCAACTATCGTTGTTTATACCATAAAATTTAAGCGAGTCTTAAATATTAATTCATCAGAATCAGATGTGGTTTAAAATATGGTTAATAATATTTAAAATTAGCTATTTCCCCGCGATTTTGTCAACTTATGCAATAATGTCAGTGTAAGTAGCTTCCTGTGGGTGTAAGAATTTTAAAAACCAGTCCAGTCGTTTCGGGGCATATTCAATACAAACAAACAATCAAAGAGACAAACAATCAAAACATTCCTCTTTGTAATATTAGTTTAAATATACGTGGCATAGACAGTACATAATGCATTCTCACTACGAAGAACAAATGTTACTACAATATAAGGTCAAATTTCTTCAGTCAATTTTAAATACAAGTAGAGGCATTGACAGATTTGCATAACCTGTCTTGCTGTTGACTGTACATAATTTTCTACTAACAACGATGTGAAAATATCATTATCATCAGTTTTGTAGCAAAAGTATTTATAACTTTCCTTGCAAGTTGTTTACAAAATGTTCAGATTTTATACAACATAAGGTGAAACATACCACCATAATAACATAATTATAAATACACATAACAGGAAATTTTATTAACATGAATAATAAAAGTAAAGGGAAGTTAAACATTTACAATAATTACATAAGAGTATGTAAACGCTTTCAAAGAAATAAGCAAATACATATCAAAGAAAAGAAACAATTCGTTTATTCCTGAAATATCTTTTTTTTATCTTTGTGTTCATATTGCTTATAACATTGCATTACATATGGGTTTTACTTGGCTTTAAAACTAGTAGGTTTTTGTATCTGAGAGCTAGAGACTTTGATAATATTAATAAAAATAGTTTTTACGCGCAAAAATGTCACCTTCTTTATAAATCTTTTGTCCGCTTTAATGAGCGCCATTATTCCAATTTAAACTAACATGTTCAGCGTTTACTTTAATATAACTGTGAAAGCGTTAGGTTTGTGCACATAATATAGTAGATAGAACATAAACAAACATACAAGACATATCCATTAGTAATGCAATTGTTTGTTCTACGTAATTTCTGCTTGACATCGCTTGGAATGCATTCAGTGTGAAAATGTAATTTGCTATATTGATTTTGATTTAAGTATTTGTTGTAGTTGATACAATTGTGATGTTAAATATAAATCGCACGTTGAGAATGACAGTGTCACTAACCAAAAACGAAGTATTTTTTACTTTTGGCAACATTTTTCTTTATTAAGTATAAACTTTAAAATGCAAAGATCCCTGTAAACGTAGCTTGCGTAGAAACTGCTAGGTGGCGTAGTGACGATACGTTGTTTAGAGGGGCTGATTACAATTTCTTGAACTTTAAACGTACATTACTCAAAATCGCCTTTTTTTCATTGTGTCACTATCGTTCTCAACGTACGAAATGTTTAGAACTGCTTAGGATTAGTTGTTAGTCGAATAGAAATGAAATAGGTAAAATTAGTAAGGCGTTAAGACGATTAAACATGATTTAGTATCATGATTGATAAATGAATATTATAATGCTTATGAAAATGTGAAAGGAACTTAAAGTATGTTCTAGTTCTTTTTTCATTTCATAATATTATACCACAAACAATTTAAAAATATGTCTCTATATACACATTATAAATATCTGTACTTATATCACAAAGAGGTTGATTATATACGATATTTTTGCTTTTTCACCTACGCAAAGCCGGGGCAATTTTCTTTCTACATTGTCCGTGGTTTTTAACATTTTATGGTTTTTGATGAAATTGATCAAGAACGCTCTTGACGTGCAATTTTTCAAGTATTGCTGCGTTGGTACAATGTGCCGTTTAAGGAAATCGCAACATTGTTCTCCAGCACCATATCTCATATGTATGCCACGTGAGTTCTTCTATTTAAAACATTGAATATTTTAGTACAAACATTTTATTCTCATAAAGTCATCATCATCATCAGCCCTTTTACGTCTCTGCTGCTGGGGGTCAGGCTTTCCTTAAAGATAGTTAAGTAGGGTGGACCATAACGCTTATCCAATGCAGAATGGAGGGTATTAGCGACTGCAAATGAAGCCAGAACTAACGGCTTAAAGTGCCTTTCGAAGCACGGAGTAGCTTGACATAATATTTTTTTGGTCACCCATCCCGTGACCGACCCTAGCTAGACTTGCTTAACAACAACGATCGCAGGCCGCGGTGCTTATCTACTATGCCATCGAGTTACATAAAGGTATATTCAAAATCAATGTTGATTCAAAAAAACTTGTTTCAAGAATTCTCCAAATTGCATGTCTTATTTAAAAACTTATTTACTGAATAAAAACAATTATCTACTAACCGTGTTTATAAATATAAAACCGCTGGCAGAAAGCATGTATTTTATAAAAAGAAATGATAAATTCAAACACATCAAGGAATTCATTCCTACTTTACTGAATAATAGCTCACAGTCTGTAGTTATTCCGATTCGTCGAATACTATAATTAAAAAATGGAAATTGCATTAAAATAATGCAAAATTTATCATCGTTCTCGCAGAAAATTAATTTTTGATGCGATGTGTCGTTGCATACCCACAGGCATTGGAACGTGTAGCGGAGAGATACGGGTCGGTTATTGCATATTGCATTCGCGTCATAATTCTGTTATATGAAAGTTCCATATTTAAACATGGCGTTAACTTTTATCATTAACTGCAAAGTGCATAAGCTTTTTTTATCTATACATGTTCACCTTTTGTATTTTCACAAAACCCGGTCATAGGATGGGAGATCAAAAATTCTTCTCAAACTCTTCCGTGCTTCATAAGCTTTAGCTGTTGGATCGTCATCTGCCGTCGTTAATACTCACCAATCCGCACAGAGCCCACGTGGTATGTCATTTCCCATTCTCCTCATTTGATTCGATTCTAGAGGGTGCCCCAGCAGTGGGGATATCAACAGGCCGATGACGATGATGGTTAATAAAAATATTTAACTATTAATTATGGTAACTCCAATTTGTAATGTTAACTATAAAGTACAGAATCAATTGAGGACATTTGACATATTGTTGTAGTTTGACGTACAGCTCTGTGTTCAATTATTTTCAACGTCGATCAAATAATGAAATCGCATCCAAACATTTCATTTTTATAGGTATTGATGCCCATACCCTCGGTAGTGTTAATGTGCGAATTGTTTAAATGTTCCCAGTAATATTACTTATTATTTACAAAGTCATTTATAGGTTTTGTAACTGAGTGTACGTACAAATAAAAAGAACGTGTAAACTGTCTCTACGCTGAAACAATAAAAGGAGTTTTTTGTGATTTCAACTTGGACACAAAAAACATTCACAAAAAAAATATTATGTCGCTTAAATCATTAACTTATACATGAAAGTAACTAAATATGGAATAAATTGTTTAAAATGGAATACTGATGAGGAAAGTTTCTACTCTTCTTACTATATCTCTTTAAAAGCTACTGTAGTCATTGATTTAGTATAAGTTAATATGACAATATTCAAACAGAAGAGACCAAAATGAAACTCTTTTCTTTAGTAGGTTATATAATATCTAAAATAATAAAAAGACACCTTACTCTAAACTTTATGTATAGGTATTTTTAAACCTCTTATGTAACATGGGATATCTAAATGTCTAATAAATCTTATATCATTTCTGAATTAACAGTTTCACCTAACATCATTATTCCAACATTTATTTATGCATTTTATGAAACCTTAGTAGATAAAGGAATGTAACAATTATTAAGTAAGTAAATTAATCTATATAAATTAATAGAATTTCTTCACTCCCTTATCTTACTTCAAAAGATATACAATAATACGACTTTAATGCTAGACTTCTATTATGAATCTATATAATCCAAGTATCCCTTAGAGGTTATGGGGCCTTGGTCGGTTTTGATTTATATTACTTAAAATTATTAGAAAATAGGTTAAACCTTCTTTAAAAAAAAACAAATAGAAAAAATTAAATCATTAAATCCTTCCAATGATATCCGGAGAGAGTTCCTTGGTTCTCTTGAGTTAGTAGTTAGTGGATAAGATTAAGGATAGCTTTACTTAGCTATATGAAACTAATCTAGTGCCGGAGGAGAGTCCGTGCATCATAAACAGTCTCGGATGGGATAATTCTCAACCATCCATAGTAAAACAAAGGAAAATAAAAGACATGGGTGTAGTACTAGCGTGAGAAATATTATCACAGAGATGATTATTAAAATATGTTAAAAGGTTGAAATTTTCTTTAATTCTATCCCTATTCCAAAACATTATCGAGACAGCTCAAGTAACATAAGGTGATGATGATAATAATACAAGAGATACATATATTTTATCGCCTCCTTTCTCGCCACTATTCTACTTATAAAAGTGTAGAAGATGGTTAATAGTTAATCGGTGAAAGATTTCATATGCCATGAAAATGTAACGGACCAACATTTTAGAACTACCTGCTATTGCGCTGTTATTATAATTGTGGATGTATTCTGCAATTCGCTATGAATCTCAGACCAAATGCTATCTCTTTAAACAAGAAATAACAACAGAATTTACCTTCGTGAATTATATTTCAACGCCAATGATAATGCAGTCTTAAATATTATTCCGATACGATCTCACAAGTCACAACATTCTCTAGGGGTCCAAATTAAATTGTACCCCGCTGAAAACCTTTCTCTTCGAAACCAAAAGCCTAGAAAGAATCTCAACTATAAGACAAACCAATAAAAATCATTTTATGTCAAAATTATCTTATTGCCATTATGAGATCATTATGTGATCATAGTTTTTTTTTATTTATAATATATTGATCTGGTAATGACATAGTTTTGTGAGTGTCGTTACTCTCATTAGAGCTGGCGAGTTTCTAGCTCGTTCTTTTTATCAGCCGAGAGACGTCCTGAACGAGTAGAAGATAAAAAAATGTTGGATGATTCAAAAGTACTTTTATGAAGTCTATTTGAATAAATATTATTTTGACAGACATATAATCATTATAATGAAAATGTAACTAATCGCTGTCTGAACATGAAAGATAGAAAGAAGATATGAAATAAACTGTAGAACAGAGTACCTATGAGCTAGTGATTCTGACACCGATTAAGTTCCATTTAAATTATAAAAAAGCTTAGATTACTACAATATAGAACACAAATAAAAGACCCTCGAAGAGTCATTTAAATTATGAGATTGTATCGAATTAAATAAAAAGAAATATATAATTTTTAACAATTATTGAAAAAAGTCAATAATTCATTACTTCTGCTACGTATTTCCGTAAAACATTGCTACTTACTAATTATTGCATTTGATATGACATATGTATATTGCATGTACACACAAATATTACAATCTATAATAAATAGCGGATAAATTAATTCCCTCAAGTATCTTATTCCGTATACGACTTATAATAATATGTTACAGAAGCCAACAGGACAAAACAGTAATATAATCCTCCTTTATTAGTACCACTCCAGCCTGTATAGAACTACTTAGCTGATACGCTTCTTATATATAACAACT